AATATGCACTGCAAGAAACTTTACTAAATTAAGGTGTTCTGTTTATAACGATCATCCTATAAAGTGTATTGTGCCACTATTATAACATCCCAATCAGGTATATATATTCAGTACATTCCATATGGCAATAACACTCAGTTCACACGGGCGGCGGGGGGGAGGCGTGGCTAATTGCCCCGGCGCAGTTTGATCCGCGATTACGCGATCTGGTGCTCCAGCGGCACAGCACGGGTCCTTCCCTCGGCGCCAAGCGGGTAAAGGAGGGACCGGAGGGGAATGCCGCGCTCCAGCGCGATCACACCAGGGGCGTCTGGAGGCAGCCCGTGGCAAATGTTTACTAGTACCTTGGAGGTACTCGTTTTTAAAGGCGCATTGTCGGCGGTATGCCACGGGTGCGCTCCACTTCCCAGATGTTGGGGTGTGATCGCGCCCGGATAATCCGCCCACCTTCTGTGCCTCTCCCGCGGCAACTTTGCCGTGTGACCGGGGCCATTATATAATAACTAACAGTCAATTTTGCATCAGTATTTTAAAAGTCAAGCCCAGACGGGAGTTTCCAGAATTACAAGCCCGCTTCTACTTGCATGAAGCCTCCCAGAAGGGGGAAGGAGCTCTCAGAGCTGTTCTCTCAAAGCTCTCTCAGCCCCACCTGCCTCACAGGGTGTTTGTGGTGGGGAGGGGAGGGGAAAGGAGGATGGGAAGCCGCTCTAAGACTCTTCTTCCCTTCCCAGAGAGGAATTCATTGCTGCCAAAATGGCCAAGATGCCGCAGATGATCGCCGACTGGCTCCGGGAGAAGGAGAAGCGCAAGGCCAAGGAGCAGGAAGAGAAGGAGAGGCGGCAGCGGCTGCTGGCTGAGGCCCGCGAGCGCCTGGGCTACAACGTGGACCACCGCAGCACCGAGTTCCAGGAGATGGTGCAGGAGATGGAGAAGGCCAGGCGGCAGGAGCTGAAGCTGCAGAAGAAGCAGCGCAGAGAGCAGGCAGTGGCCAAAAAGGCGGAGGAAATGGCAGCCGCCGCGGCCGCTGCTGCCGCTGCTGGTTCTCAGCCAGCAAAAGAGGGGGAGGCGGAAGAAGCAACATCGCCCGTCCAGGTCACATAACAGGCTGACGGCAGAGGCCCTTCTAAACGGAAAGGCACCCTCTGGCGGCAGGTGGTGGCCTGCGGGGCCCCCGCAAACCCAGCGCATCCCCTTCAACTTCCTGGACAACGCTTCAGGTCTCCCGTTTCCAGAGTCCAGTGTGAGTGTCGATCTCACGGGGGGGTCTGGAAGGCTGCCGTTGCCGGTGTCCTCTTGCTCCTCTCCGTACAAGCAGGGCACCGGCATGGGTGTGGGATGGCAGACTCCTTTCCCTGCTCCACGGCCTCTGTTTCTTGCCAGCTGGGTCCTAGGAGTGGTGTTCCCAGGCCGGCTGCAGCCTCTCCCGGGGCAGTCATGCTTGCTCTGGCGGTACTGACCAGTTTGGTGGTCTGTGAAGATAGTCAGATGGGCACCTCTTGAGGTTTCCCTTGGCTTTCTGGACTTCTTTAAAAACACACACACAGACGCACCACTACTGCGGTCTTGATGTTGTTTGTGAAGTGCTAAAAAACGGGGGCTCATGCAAAATACACCGCGAGATAGGCCCCGCTCGATGGACTGGCCATCTGAATAAAGCCGGAGGAGGAGCTCTGAACCTGCAAAAAAAAACCCAACCTCCCAGCGTGTTGTGTTTTGTTTCTTACATTCGTCTTCTGCCCCCTTCCTTCCGGGAGCTCAGAGAAAAGTTCTCAGCTCTCCGCAGGCCTCTGACTGGCCTGAGGTGGCCCAGTGGACTTCACAGCTCAGCGGGGACTTAAAGCTGGGCTGTGCCCATCCCAGGCCAATGGATCTTTGGGGGGTTGGGGGTGGTAGGGTTTCACAGTCGGGTTCTGCAAAAGCACAGAACTAACTTGGCATTTTCCAAATGTCTCAGAGTTCTGCTTCCTCAGCCATTGGGTGAGATCCGGGGATCCCCACCCATTTCGAGCCCGTGAGCACCTTTGGGATTCTGACGCAGCAGGGTGGGCACAGCCACAAAACAGCTGCTGCAGGGGGTAAGAGCCAGCCACAAAACGGTTCCCCCTGCTTCCATGCAGTTGCACAGTGAAGGTCCTTGTGCTGCGGTGGCAGCTACTGCCACAGCCAGTCAGAAGCCTTGCTGGGCAAAAGGCCCACCCGGCCCCACGTTCTAAAAACCAGGGGTCATTTCCTGCAGGAGCCAGCAGTGAAGAGTCCAGGGGTGGGCACATGCAACAAGCCCCGCCCCCTGCTCCCAGCAGCCCTCAGTCGGGCCACGAGGAGCAAGAAGCAGCCAGGTAAGTTGCAGAGGCCCCCTCCCCTGGCCTGCCTTCAGGTACAAGCTCTCCCTCATCTGCAAGGGCAGATCTGCACGTTCCCCCCCCCCATAGCTAGCAATCCAACACAGTCCAGTGGCACCTTTAAGACCAAGTTTTATTCAGGTACAAGCTCTCCCTCCTCTGCGAGGGCAGATCTGCATGTCCCGTCCCCCCCAAAGCTAGTGATCCAAAACAGTCCAGTGGAGCCTGAGCGGTGGGTGTTGCCGTCTGACACACTTCCAGTGATGTCAGGGAGTGTGGCATATGCAAATAGCTTATGCTAATGAGCTCCTGCACCTCTTTTCCTACCAAATGACCCCTGCTAAAAACACTTGGGGGACGCCAGGAAAGGTGTTGGTGGGCAGCAGGGTGCCCATGGGCTCCACATTGGGAATCCTTTGCAGTCAGATGACCCCGGG